AATCTCAGAGATTCATACAGAAGAGGAAAGGAACAAGATATTCTGAACATATTGAAAGTTGGGGGGGGGGCAGTGAGTAGAGAGGGAACTAGGAGAGAGAGAGACATCATAAAAGAAGGAGCCATTAAATGTTTGAAGAGAAAACTGACTCTAGAGAAATTTCCAGAGACCTACAAGACTGGCCCCAACTAACAATCTGAGCAACAGTGGAAAGGCTACCATAAATGTCCTTCCTTGATAATGACATTGATGACTAACTTATCCACCATCATAGAACCCTCAACTAGTAGATGATGGAAACAGAAGCAGACACCCACAACTAAACATTGAGCCAATCTGGATTCCAGATGCAGAGAGGGAAGACAATACCAAGCTACAGAAACCCACAGAGATATCTGACCTACAAGGGAGAGCTTGTGGATCCCCAGACTGAGAGCTGGGAAACCAGCATTGGATCTACTCAGACCCCCCTGAACATGGGTCTTAGTTAGAAGGCCTGGGCAGTCTAAGGGACCTCTGACAGTGGAACCAGGATTGATCCCTGGTGCACAAAATGACTTTGGGAGCACATTCCCTTAACCTATAAGCATGAGGGAGGGCCTTGTCCCTACTCCAAATGATCTTGTTGACCCCTCCTGGAAGGAATCACCCTCCCTGTGAAGTTTGGAAGGGAATGGAATGGAAGGGTAGTCTGGGATGGATGGAAGGAGGAAGGTATGGAGGGAGGAAGAGGGAACTGGGATCAATATGTAAAATAAAAAATGTACTATATAACTTTTTTTAAAAAAGAAAAGGAAAAAGAAAAATACCAATCAGTCTACATCACATACACACACAACACACATGCGCGCGCGCACACATACACATACACACACAAAGAAAAACTGGAAACAGAAATTAAAATCAAAATAATCATGATAAAAATAAAATCCAAAAAGGAAAAATGATTTAATGAAACAATGATAAATTTATTTAAGATAAGCATTGATAAGTTGTTACCAAGACTGGGCAAGGGGCTTAAATACTTAAAGTAGAAAACTAGAGAAGATGTAGCAAGATAATACACACAGAAAATAAAAGGATTATAACAGACTACTGATAATTTCATATGTATGAATGGTCTATAAAACAAATGAGAAAAGTCCTTGAAACTATCAACCTCCCCTAAATTAATCATGTGGAAAACAGAAAACTTCAACAAATCTACACCTGGCAAGGAGACTAACTTATTCATCAAAAACTCAGAGGAAAGAAGACCCGGGAAGCCAATACTTCCATTGATGAATACTAACTACCAAGCGTTTTAGGAATACCGCAAACCAAGCCTCAGTCTCCCATAACAAAACGGAACATCACAAACCATGTTTGAAACCAGTATCCCCTTTATACAAAGCCAGGCATGGGCACAACAGAAAGGGGAGAAAGACCAATGTCTTTGGTAAAGAACTAAATGTTTTCTCTCATCATATACATCAGTATGTCATTACATCAGTATATCATGTTCTTAGATTTGAGATCTGAATGCAGTGAACAAAATGTGACTAACATGAAAAATTCCCTGCACTATTTTTATAAAATTCAAAGATTACCATTTTTTAATCTTAGCTTTTGAGAGGCATTCCTCGGATACCAAAATTACATAAAATAAGGAGTGAAACTCTTTCCAGTGGACTTGAACAGCAGAATGTAAAATAAAAATAGCCCCCCAGTAGATCTAGTTTATGAGTATTTAAGAGTTCTAGGTTCTATGTCAAAGCCAGAAAAAAAAATAACACAAGCAGTCAATATTGCTAAAAGAATGGCAAAATCAGGGCCAGCTTCTGTTTTCAAAAACACAGAATAATCATCAAAAATAGTGATTATCACATCTATTTTGCACCAAACAAAAGAATAATTATTCTTCTCTTTCAAAATGCAGGGCATTTGCCAAACTTCTCATGTTTTCTTTGCATATTCTTTTTTTTTTTCTGAACCTCTGACAATACTAAGATTCAGATTCTTATTGCTTAGGGAGGAGGGAGTCTAGTAAGCAAGATGGGCTAAATGGATACTTCCCTATGGCCATGCTGCAGCATGAATTATACTCACTTGGTAGTTACTGCTTCTGATTCAGTACCACTGAAGAGAACAACCAATCAACATACATATTTAGGAATTATCAATGGTGGATCACCTGGAAAAGTACTTTTTCAAAAGCAGTGACAGCTATCGCTATTGCCTGAGTGCAGTACATATGTGCTCAAACTTTTAAATGTGTGTGAGCACAACTCATCTAGGCTCTTCTTTTTCCATACCTGATCTTGGACTCTGACTTCTTATAGTTAAGTAAGGCTCACCCACTCCAGTCTCAATCATGGCTCATTTTAAACAAGGATTTAAAGAATATAAAATTATGAAAAGCAACTAAACCTATATATATTAATTTCTACATAGTTTTGATTACTGTTTTCAGCTCTATAATCAATCTCTGTGATTATCAGGTGAGTCTGTCTCCATACCTTCTAGGCTGTGCCTTACATCTGGTATTAAGATGCTCCCCATCTTCTATGTTCTTTGCAAAGTCAAGTTACTACATACCAAGTTCTGTAGTGTTCTGGTGATCACCAATGTGTAAAACCTAGTGGCTGAAAGCAACAGCTATTTTATTGGCTCTTGCAGTTCTGAAAGGATGCAAGAGAGTGAAGCAAACACAGAACCGGCAGCTCATGCTGGATTTTGCTGGAAACTCAGCCAGCCAGGTTTTATCTGCAAACTATCTCCCTGGCTGTTAATTCATCATATTATCTTGGGTCCTACACCCCAGAAATTTTATATTCTGAAAGGGAACATCCTAAAACAGAGTAGAAGCCAAGTATTATGAGTCACTACTAAAGAGAAATGGACTTAAATCGAAGCTTGAGTTCTTTTAAAAATGAGCAAACTATGTTCAATCAAATATTAGGGAAAACAACATTTGGCATTTAGCAGTACCTGACTTCACGTCTGGCCTTCCCTTCTTCCTCACCTAACTAGGCACATCCCACATCAATCACCATGATTCCTGCCATTGTACCTTTGTGGAGGCTATATCAGCTGTACACCAGGTTCCTATTCATCCTTTGGAGCTAGCAGAAGCATGCTCTCATCTGTGAGGCCTGTGGTCCTCTTCCCCTGGAATGAGTCACCCTCCTCTGAGGGCTATACTATCAGCACTTAGCATCACTACAGCTTCTTTTTTTAAATTTTATTTTCTTACTTGTTTTCAATACATCCCAACTATATAGTTTCCCTTTATCATTTTCATTTTACTTATTGCTTTGGCTGATCCCTTGACAATCAAGATGTTAATTTTTCCTGATCTGGAAACCATCAGTTCCACAGAACATTGTCTGTGATCAGAAGTTGTATCTCTAGCAACTTTAAACTCTAAAACTTTAAACTAAAATAAATTTTAGCTAGCTATCTCTCTTGGCTAGTACAGAATCCGTCAGTGAAAAAAAAAGTGTGAAATGTCTCTGAAAGTCCTCTATATGTATCATTGTATGTATAATCCATAGAAAGTCACATAATTTCTAGATGACCATATGACACAGTTTGCTTAGGACCTCTTGTAGGACAATTAAGCCTGTTAATTATTTTAATGAATATTCCCTCTCTCAGAAGAATATCAGTTTGAATGGCAGAGTTTGTTATCCCAGAATTCCCAACAATAAATTAAAGGCTCTCAGAGGCCAAATAACTAGTTGCTAAGGCAGGGTCCTTATGGCTGGCATCTCTGTCCCTCAACAGGGTCTAGCCTCAGTTGCAAAACACTCATGCTCACAGGAATGACCCATAACCAATGACTGATAGCTACAGAGAAGGCAACTCTGTTGTCCTGTCTTCATCCAGCGCTACCCTGAAGGTCTCCCTCCTCCAGAATTCTAAGTTGATGAAGAGTCCCATTGAGCTTATACATCACAAAATCTCCTGGGGGAATATCCCAATGAACCTTACCTGTGCTGTGTGTCTGAATTTCAGTCTGTATCCATGCTACCTGACAACTCCATGTTTCCATCAGATGTAGGCTAGCAACTGTACTAGACATAGGACCCTTAAATTTTATTGAGGTAAGCACAGTTCGTGCAAAGATTCTTGAGTCCTACCTTACATCTGTCATTTCTACAATCCAATTAGTTCTCTTTAAGAACAGTAGAAAAAAATAAATAACAAATTGTATTGAATAATAATAATATACTGTACTAAAGTTATTCTAAAACATAAGCTTTTTTTTTTAATTTTCCATGTAATTACTCCAGTCAACAGTTGGCTATAATAAGGAGTTAAAATCACAGAGCAAATCCATGGATACACAGGGATGGCTGTATAGCAAGGTGACCTGAGATCTTGTCTGTTTTAGCAATGGCACTGATACCTAAAGTGAATAGTGATGACAGATGTGCCATCAAATGGATATATGTATAGCACAGAATCAAACAAAATAGACCTTGAAACAAATACTTTTTCCAAACTTTCTGAGCACTCCCTCAAGCAGGGAAATTTATAGCACCATGTCTCATTTGGAGAAGACAAACTGCTATGCAATCATCCTGGGCTTTTTATCCCTTCAAATAGAGCTCCAGATCTCCACGTCACATAACTTCTACAATCTGAGTTCTAACTTCAAGTACCCTTCATTGACAACTCTACTCCAACCAACTTACCACTCTATCTTCTTCCAAGCCTCTAAATTAATGTGCAGTGCTTGTTTTGTTACTTCAATCCTGCCTCTCCAACTGAGATTTAGGTTCTTCTACAACCAACCAACAACAAACAAATACTTCTCTGGTTCTGACTTCAACCCTCCAAACTCCCCAAATTATACGTCGTCCTGAAAAAAAACTCAAGAACTCATTCTCAATGTCAGTTTCCATAAAATCACTTACTCCTTTGTAAGTGACTACATTTCGTACAGAAAAGCAGTCCAGCAAATGCTCAAAATGATCCCAAGATGATGCAAGGAGAAGAAACCAGTCACCTACATTGTTCATGTACTCGGACAGCAGGTCCTGGAGAGCCTGGCGGATGGCATTGCACTCAGCGATGATCCGTTCTCTGTGGATGTCCCTGGTGCAGGAAGAGTCAGCCAATAGTGCAGCTCCACTGATGATGGCTTCTAGGCGTTTCTCTAGTGATGGTCTTATTTCTTCCTCTGTCACTGTGAGCGGGTTCAGGACAATTAAATTCTGGGAAAAGAAAACATTTGGATGGTTAGGACTCGAAAGTCCATTCTTAGAAAACAAAACAACAACAAAAAAAAAATGAAAGAAAACAAGCATTGTTTCCTTCATGCTTCATGCTTAGAATTCAGGAGTATTAATAAGGAGAATTATGCTTTTCCTGCCTCGGCAATTCACACAGAAGACTACATAGCAATATTGTTCAGATGGATGATTAAATTTGTGTGTTTATGAGCTTATATTCAACTGTCTGTCCTCAATTCAAAGCTTGCCCTTCCCACTCACCAAAGTGCCTTACCCCCCCCCCCATTTCTCTCTCTCATCTGTAAAGCTACAGTACTCATGTTGCCTACACCACAAAACCAACAGAAGAATTATACAATTAACACAGTGACTGGTGTGCACTGTTAATCACAATAGCAACATCTCTGAGCTGCCAAGCCATTTCTCTCACATGCTATCTCATCTTAACAATGAAGATGCAGGAAGGTAAGGTGTGATTTTAGCCACACATTTCAATGGCTATGTGAGGCTGAGAGGCTCTTACCCAAGGTCAAAGAGCAAACAAGCTTTGAAGTTCAGACACATAACTCTGTCTTATAATTCACAATTCAGTGTCATTTTAATTATACTTCACTGTAAGTCATAGACACTAATTAACTTTACCACTAACACATCAAAGAAAATTCTGGTTTTTGATTTTCATTCAAAAAATAGAACTTCAGGGGCTGGAGAACTTGTTCATTAGCCCCAGCATGGTCAGCTCTTGCAGAAGATCAAGTTCAGCCACAGCACCCATATTGAGCAGATCACATCCACCTGGAACTCCAGTTCTAGGGCATCTGATGCCCTCTTCTGGACTCTATGGGCACCTGCACTGCACATACACACACACAAACACACACACTGTTTAATAATAAGGTAAAGCAAAGAGGCACATTTAGAGAGCTACACTTAAGAGAGAAACTCATTTCAGGAAGGCATAGAGCCCTGGCATGCTCACACACTATAAAATAAACTAAAACCAGAACACATACCTTAAAATAATATATCTTAACTAATTTATGGTGCTCAGGATTTCTCCTTTACAGGAGCCTTATAGAAAGCCACTGTGATCTTTTTTAAAAATAATATTTTTCAAAAAAGAGTTTGAACAGAAGCTGTTTGTAAGATAAGGTTGAAATAGGTAGCCCAGTCTGGCCCTGACCTTACTAATCTCCTGGCACAGCCTCCCAGCATTTGGGAGGCAAAAGCAGGGGTATCTGAGTTTGAGGCTAGCATGGTCTACAGAGCAAGTTCCAGGATAGCCGGGTCTACACAGAGAAGCACTGTCTTGAAAAAAAATAAAGTTTTCACTTCATCCTGTTGTCAGATAAAAAAAAAGGCAAAAGAGGTTTAAATAACTTGAGTGTTATATGAAATACCAGTGCAGTCATTTAACCTTTTGATCTAACATGACTATTTGTTATATGTGTGTGTGCATGCATGTGTGTGTGTGTGTGTACATATATAGAGAGTATACATAATATATATACATATATAGATATATATCTCACAGAAGTAAACAACATAGTGGAAGTTATAAATAGCTAAGAGGTGGAACAGTAACTGAGGAGGTCCTGAGCAAAGAATTCTAAGTCTTTGTTAGACAGAAGGAGTAAGTTCATGTCCTCTATTGTAAATTGCAGTGTAAATTGCACTGTAAATTGCAGTGATTGCAATTAATAACAACATACTATGCAGGCATAATTTTAAGTGTTCTTAAGTGCATTGGCTTACACTTCTACATCATCATGCATCACTGACAGATGTCACAACAGGAATTCAAGCAGAGTAGGACCCTGGAGGCAGGAGCTGTTGCAGAGGCCATGGAGGAGTGCTGCTTACTGGCTTGCTCATCACAGCTTGCTCAGCCTGCTTTCTTATAGAACCTAGGACCACCATCCCAGGGATGGCCACCTATGATAGTCTGGGCTCTCCCCTCATCAATCACTAATTTTAAAAATGCCTGACAGCAAGATCTTATAGAGGCGTTTTTGCAACTGAGGTTCCCCCCTTTCAGATGACTCTAGCTTGTGTCAGGTTGACAGGAAACTAGACAGCACAGCACTGAGACTATCTTTGTGTCTACCGATGAATAAAGGGATAAAGAAATTGCCTCATCCTGTGTGTACAGATTCTGGCATATATACATCCACCAGAATATCATATGGCCATAAAAAATGGATGTTCTTGTTGCAATTTTTAAAAAGTGGCATGAGACAAAAAGACAGAGCTCACATGAAGGGTGTGTGTGTGTGTGTGTGTGTGTGTGTGTGTGTGTGTGTGTCTGTCTGTCTGTCTGTCTGTCTGTCTGTTTTTATGGGTGAAAGGGACTGAGAGGAATAGGAAAAGGGGGGAGGGGAGAGAGGAGATAATCCTCTGGGGACAGGAACAACAAAAGAAAAAAGAAAGGCAGATAGGGGGAGGAGACAGAGACAGGCAGAGAAGGGGAGAGAGAGATGCAGAGAGCAATGGGAGGTGGACAGGAACCTTTTAAAAGGGAACATAGTGAATATGCATAGGAGGTCCTTTTAGTGGCTGAAGCTGAGGATGTATCCTGTCAGAATCCCATGGGCAGGCCATTACAGATGCCTGAATACTAATAGTCCTAACATGTGTGACCACACAGATGAGCCTGGAGGACAAGGACATTAGGCTAAAGTGACCTGAGTCTCTCTCTGTCTCTGTCTCTCTCTCTCTCTCTCTCCCTCTCACACACACACACAAAATGAATGCCATACTACTTATATGTGGGATAAAAAAATTCAAAATATTTGAAATAGAGTGGGATGGAATAGAGTTTGCAGAGGCTGTGAGCATTTTCTTCATCAGAAGGCACAAATACTCAGTGCATGCATGTCTGTCTGTGTGTGGTTATATGCTGGACACAGGTAGAATCAAATCACAGACAGTTGTAGGCCATGAGACATAAGAGTTGGAAACCAACTGTAGGTTCTGGGCAAGAACAGTACAGTCTCTTAGTCACTAAGCCATCTTTCCAGGTTGTTTATTAATATTTTTAAGTTTAAAAATTACAAAGGAAAGGCGAGAGGATTATGCTGAGTGAGGTGATCAAACAGTGTGATGCAGGTTCAATGAGAAACCTTGTCTCAGAAAACAAAGTGGAGAGTAGTTCAGGAGGACACCTAATATGGACCTCTGGCCTACACACGCACATACACACACACACACACACACACACACACACACACACACACACACACACACACACACAGAGGAGAATTTAAAAATACATATGTCCTCAAATCTTCTTGGGCTCTCTATCAGTATCACTTTTAGTCAAAATTTCATGTGAGTCGTCCCTTTGTATTCATACCAAGAAAGGAGGTCAAGTGGTCTAAGTCTTCGTTTCATTCTTTATAAACAGAAAAGTAGAATCTATAACTACCATATAGGGTTTTAGTTAATGTAGCTTCTTTTGTCATTATGTGTTTGCTTGGTTGTTTTGGTTTGCTTTTAAAACAAGGCCTCATTTTGTTGCCCAGGCTATCTTGGAACTCATTCTATCCTGTGCCTTTTAATGCAATGTGTAGATTTACTATCCTGTAGGAGGATAGGACACCTCAGTGTCCTGTTCACTAGTGCTAATTTTTCCTTTAAATGCCCTGACATCTACACCTGATGAATCCAGCTATACACTAGTATGAAAAAGCTACATGCACAAAACCCGAACAACCTAAAATACCACCCCTGAATGCATCATGTATTCAGTTACTAATTCCATAGTATTTATTAATTAATATTTTTCATATTCTGAACATGGCTTTTATCCATGCCTTACACACAGAAATAACAAAAAAAAAAAAAAGAACATCTAAAACAAGTGAAAGCACAACATCAATATGGCTGGGAAAGTTTTCTGTATTTTAATGAACAGGATATAATAAACCTTATTCATCATTCGCACACCACATAAGGTGTGACAGGATTGATCGGATTTACATTCAAAACACTAAAACTCTCACACCTATTCTCCAAAGTGAAATTGCCTATCAAAAGAGCTGCAGCTATGATTATAATCAAGTACCAACATTCTTCAGAAAAACACATGCTATGCTTCAAGTTGGGAGCAGCAAAAATAATAAGCATGTAGCATAAATAATGCTCCCCTAGAAACTACATTATCAATCTTCAGAATGAGTGATAAAAATGGAATAAAATTTCTCCTTCTGATTACCAACAGAAAATGGTACTGAGAAAACTCACAGACTCTCCTGGGTATGGAATACTCCTTCTTTTAGTGCATTTCCACTTAATATAAAGAATGGACAGGTCAGCTATACAAACTGTAAGAGAAGGCAAAATGTGAATAAAAACTTATAAATCAGCAAGATGATCAGCGCTCATTTTTTAGAGTACCTTGGTCAATTAGTGTAACAGTCCCACACAAGTTTAACTACTTGTTTAGCCATAAATTTAAAAATGCATACCATGCATTTTTACCTCTGTATAATATGATAGAAAATATCTGAGAGGTAATCAATATACTTTCAAAGAAAATTACACACATAAATTGTTTGATTTTTTTTCCCCCTCAACAGGATGAATGTAGACCATTTAAGCTAAGCAAGAGGGTGTGATAGCAGTTACATTAGGGCCCTGATGGACATTTCAGCCATATAGTTCACTTCACAGAAGATAAGTAATATTTTAGGATAGTTCTGCCAGAGTCCAGCAGCCTGATCTATACAAAATACTACATTCTTCCTGGGTTTGTCTGGGGATGGTGGGAGTAAAATGAACCTTGGTGGATTCTCCTCTTTTTAAAGCTTCCCTGCATAAGATTATCACTGGGCATTCTGGGCTGTCAACTGGGTTGTTGGATTGCATATTATCACCACGATGTTGCAGAATGACACATTTCAATAAAGGAGTAAATTAAAGTTGTGGTGTGGATGGTGTACTTGGGAGCATGTTTTGTAGATTTGGTCTCTCTCCATAGT